GAGACAGAGTCTTACTCTGTTGCCCAGGCTGGAGTGTAGTGGCGCAATCTTAGCTCACTGCAACCTTTGCCTCCCGGGTTCAAGCGATTCTTGTTACTCAGCCTCCGGAATAGCTGGGATTACAGGCACCTGCCACCACACCCGCTAATTTTTGTACTTTTAGTAGAGATGGGATTTCACCCTGTTGGCCAGGCTGGTTTGAACTCCTGACCTCAGGTGATCCACCAGACTTGGGCTCCCAAAGTGCTGGGATTACAGGCATGAACCACCACACCCGGCTATTTACATTTTTAAGATAAAAATTTTACCATGCTGGATATATTACAGTAACTATGTACTTCAGTTTCCCAATTGTTAAACGAACTTAATAGAAGTACTACCTTATAGAATTCTGGAGATTAAATGAAATAATCTTCTGAGTGCAACAAATATATTATCAGTACAACAGCTAGCTCTGCTGAGTCTTTATTATTATAATAGTGGTAATAGTCAGACTTGGAAGGGGTGAAAGAGAACAACAGTCTATTTTATTTTTGTGGCATATATATCATAGGTCATAAGACCTTGGATTATTTAGATGCCATGTTAAAACTTGACAAAAACTAGAAATGTTGTGAGTGTGCAATAGCAGGTAATAACTAATCTGATAATTAATTTATTCTTGAATTTGATCAGAAGACAGATCTAACTTCATCTATTGCCAATTATTATTGTAGCAAAATCTATTAGAATTTCAGTGTAGGCACTACAGTACAATAGTGTGAATTTCAAAAGTGAGATATTTTATGTGGCTTTTTAAAGTAGGTTTTCAAATCAGTTAAAGGCTCTAAAACCCATTAAGAAGGATACTATGGGTCAGGAATAGCATTTTATGAGGACTCCTGAGAAAACGGTGCTGTGTCCCCTCCACCATTGTGTAAGTGGAGGTTACTCTCACTTGTTCTCTCACTTGGTATCAAGTGAGAGGGGCTTGAGAGGGACGACTTAAGAGATTTAAAGGATTCCCCCCAGTTGCGGGGAAAAGAGGACCAGGGTCCGCTCTCCGAGATACCCAACAAGGAGAGAACTGTGGCTGGTTTACTGTTCCCACAGAAAGAACTATACTATAATGGTGGCTGTGTTGAATTTGCCTACACTCCAGCCTTTGTCAGGGCAAAGGAAATGTATTTCCTGCAGATTAGAGGTGGGCCTAGTGGAGGAGAGGGATAGCTTGGAGTTGGACTCCTGTCCAAATAGATGCCTGAAAGGGCAGTGAGGTTCCAATGGTGAGTCTTTTGAATGACAGCCAAAAAGCCAGGAGAAGAATGAATTATCCAAGTCAGTGGAGCTATGACCAGAGGTGAGACTCTGAATAACCCATGAAAGTGCATCTGAGAAAAAAGAGTTAGCTTCAAACATCAGCAGACAGGTGTTTTGGCAGGAAGGCCCATGTTGGCATCTCTTTGCCTTCCTTCCCCAGCCTCCCTGTCTTCCATGCCTATCTTGGAAAGATCCCACAGCTAGTGATGGCGAAAGTTGTGGAAGAGAAGAGAAGCAGCTGATTCAATCCCTTCCCAGGTTCCCTGGGGCTGGGGAAAACATTTGATTACCTAGTGAAGATTGGTTTGTTACCTAAAGTGACCATAAGCCTTCCTTTATTTAACATTGACCAAAAGAATCAAATGGGCCTGCTGAAGTGATCATCTAGTGGCAAGGGAAAAATTTTTCCCCACTAAATAAATTTTAAGAAGACAGTCAAGACAAGAAACTATATTTGATTATATCCTTTAGTGCTTATTCAGTAAACACATAAGTCTGTAATTTTTAATATTTGGTATAACAGTAGATTGAAATCCACAGTAATTCACAAAAACTTATGCAAGGTTTTTTTTTTTTGAGACAGAATCTCACTCTGTCCCCCAGGTTGGAGTACAGTAGGATGACCTTGATTCACTGTAGCCTCCACCTCCCAGGTTCAAGCAATTCTTGTGCCTCAGCCTCCTGAATAGTTGGGATTACAAGCATGAGCCAGCAAGGCTAGCTAATTTTTGTATTTTTAGTAGAGACGAGGTTTCTGCATGTTGGCCAGGCTGGTCTTGATCCTGATCTCAGGTGATCTGCCTGCCTTGATCTCCCAAAGTGCTGGGATTACGGGCTTGAGCCACCGTGCTCGGCCAAGGTATTTTTTCTTGAAAAATCTTCCCTCATATGAGCAGTATATGCAGTATAAGGATATGCTCTTGGGTTTCTTGACGTGGTCTAATATTTAGTGTTGGCCCCTTAATTATAAAAGTGCTTTTATCTAAAAGTAGATGTTAGTTGTCAGGCAATGTTTGCTATAAAAAAAATTAAATAAAAAATAAAAGTAGATGTTAGGATGTTTTCTTCTGGCCTGCCTAGTATTTATATTAGATTCTTTCTTTTCTTTCTTCCTTTCTTTCCTCCTTTCTTTCTCTTTCCTTTCTTTCTTTCTTTCTTTCTTTCTTTCTTTCTTTCTTTCTTTCTTTCTTTCTTTCTTTCTTTCTTACTTTTCTTTCTCTCTCTCCCTTTCTTTTCTTTCTTTCTCTTTCTTTCTTTCTTTTCTTTCCTTCTTTCTCTTTCTCTCTTTATCTCTTTCCCTCCCTCCCTCCCTCTGTCCATTCCTCCCTCCCTCCCTCCCTCCTTCCCCCCTTCCCCCCTTTCCCCCTTCCGTCCTTCCGTCCCTCCTTCCTTCCTTCCTTCCTTCCTTCCTTCCTTCCTTCCTTCCTTCCGTCCTTCCGTCCTTCCGTCCTTCCGTCCTTCCTTCCTTCCTTCCTTCCTCTCTCAGCTGCCCAGGCTGCAGTGTACAGTCACACGATCTCGGCTCACTGCAACCACCATCTCCCGGGTTCAGGTGATTCTCCCATCTCAGCCTCCTGAGTAGCTGGGACTACAGGCACCTGCCCCCACGCCTGGCTAATTTTTGTATTTTAGTATAGACGGGGTTTCACCATGTTGGCCAGGCTCGTCTGGAACTCCTGACCTCAGGTGATCAGCCTACCTCGGCCTCCCAAAGTGCTAGGATTACAGATGTGAGCCACCGCACCCAGCCTAGATTGTTTCTTAAACACCACAGATGTCTGAACTTTTTTGAATGAAATTAAATTATTAGAGATTAGTAAAATTTTGTATAAGATAGTAGACTAAAAAATTCTTACTAGGCTGGGTATGGTGGCTCATGCCTGTAATGCCAGCAATTTGGGAGGCCAGGGTGGGCCAATTGCTTAAGCCCAGGAGTTTGAGACCAGCCTGGGCAACATGGTGAAACCTTGTCTCTACAAAAGATACAAAAATTAACTGGTGTGGTAGCACACACCTGTAGTCCCAGCTACTGAGGAGGCTTAGGTGGGAGGATGGCTTGAGCCCAGAAGGCAGAGGTTGCAGTGAGCCAAGATTGCAGCACCACACTCCAGCCTGGGTGACACAGCGAGACCCTGTCTCATTAAAAAAAGAAAATTTAACCTGTCTCAAGCTCCCCATACTGTAAGGCTCTAAACGTCTTGGTTGGATTGTGCTAATATATTTGGCCAATCAGCTCCTTCCTACCGTCTACTTTTGAACCCCTATCACCACCATTTAAGTCAAGATGACAGTGTTTACATAATCTCTTCACTGTATTTTAAGATTAGTCTTCTTTCTGGTGAGGGAAGACAGATAATAGAAATATGGCTGACTGACTGGGCCATGGCTCACGCCTGCAACCCAGCACTTTAGAGGCCGAGGTGGGAGGATTGCTGGAAGCCAGGAGTTCAAGACCAGCTTGAGTAACAAAGTGAGACCCTGTCTCTACAAAAGAAACACACAAAAAAGAAATACAACTGACTAAAATATATATATAATTTAAAAACGTAAGAAGGCAAAAAATTTCTGGGCTCAAGGTGGGTGATCGCTTAAGCCCAGGAGTTCAAGACCAGCCTGGGCAACCTGGCAAAACCTCGTTTCTACAAAAAAATACAAAAATTAGCCAGGCATGGTGCTGCACACCTGTGGTTCCAGCTACTTGGAAGGTTGAGGTGGGAAATTTGCTTGAGCCTGGGCTGTCAAGATCACAGTGAGCTGAGATCGCACCACTGTACTCCAGCCTGGGCAATGGAGTGAGATCATTTCTCAAAAAAAAAAAAAAAAAAAAAAAGGCAAAATATTAAATTATTAGTATGATAAAGTTTCATTTGGACTTAATATGAAATTCATTACTAGAAATGATGATCATTTGCATAGGGCTTAACTACCTTTGCTAAGAAAATAGAATAATATACTGGGAGACTCCCAGAGCTTCACAGAGCTTCAGGGTCATCTACCAAGACAGACAATTTGTTGTCATCATCATTGTTAAAACTCTAAATTATTAAGTGCTTGTGTGCCAGATACTGAGGTTTATGTGCACTTTCTCTAATCTTTAATAATTCTAGAAAGGTATTTATTTGATCCATTTTCACGATAAGAAAACTCATTCAGAGGGGAAGTAACTTGACCAAGGATATGTTGTAGTTGTAGAGCTGGGAATATGACTCATGTGTGTTTTTTCCACAGCTCATTTTCACTTAGGTTCCATTAGTTTATTTTACTTTTTTAGGAGGACTTACAGACTTGATTTCCTTGGCGAAGTCAGATCACTCATTTCTTTGGCACATAATTATGATTATTTGTATTTAATATTTCTTTTTTTCTTGTTGGTTTTCATTTTTTGGGTTTTTATGGAATCTGACTTCTGATTCTCAATTTTTTTATTGTGAAATATAACATACCTTCAGAAAAGAAGATTAAACATATGTATGATTTTATAAATAATTATAAAATAAATACCCAGTAACTATTATCCAGGTCAGCAAATATTCTACTAGTGTATGAGTCAATTTCCATGGCAAAAGAACTAAGCTTAGGCGCTATACTAAAAAAAAAAAGCTAAAAATAAAATTTTTCTAAATGTGTATTATATCAATGGAATAAGTACAAATATAACTTACCATGTCATAATTCCTCCCACCCTTTCCCCTCTTTTACAGCATGGGTAGGTTCTCTCTCCATGGGGATGATTTTCTTTTGCTGCCCAATAGTCAGCATCTTCACAGACCTATTTGGTTGTCGGAAAACAGCTGTCATGGGTGCTGCTGTTGGATTTGTTGGGCTCATGTCCAGTTCTTTTGTAAGGTAAGGACTTGGTTTTTTCATGTTGCTTTTTAAAAACTGTTAAATGCCTTAAAGTTTTAATTTAAGAAACTTTGTTTCTTAAATTCAAAATTCAAAAATTCTTTGTTTAATTTACAAACAAAGCTCCTCCTTTTCATTTCTTAAAACTTTAAGCAGTATGACTTATAAAACAAACTGTTATCCATAGCAGCAAATCAGAGCTTGAGAATTTGAATGCTTTTTTTTCTTTTAATGCCTAAGACTTAGACATCAATCAGGATATATGTGTTTCCTGGTGCATGGAAAAATGTTTCTCCTTATCTTTTTCTTCTATTCACATAAAAATCCCAATGGCACTCAAGTTATAACAATAAGTTATCTAAAATAGCGGCCTTAGTTTAAGGTCCTTTCAGTCTGAGGCCCACGGGTTACAATACGTGCTGTTTTAAAGTAGCTGTTCATAGGCTTGATATGAAATATTTTTATTAATGAGACCAAAACCTTGCCATTTATTCCAACCCAGATAGAGAATTCCTGTCTGTTCTTTAAAAAAAGAACATGCTAAAATTTTAAAATATCATGGCAAAATGAAGTGGTCCAATGTACCTTAAAATAAAACTTAATGTCAGTGTACTTCTCCTGTATCTATTAGAAAAGGGATCCGCAGCCCCTGTGCCACAGACTGGCACGGGTCCATGGCCTGTTAGGAACTGGGCTGCACAGCAGGAGGTGAGCTGTGGGTGAGCAAGCAAAGCTTCCTCTGTATTTATAGCTGCTTCCTATTACTTGCATTACCACCTGAGCTCCACCTCCTGTCAGATCAGCGGCAGCATTAAATTCTCCTAGGAGTGCAAACCCTATCGTGAACTGTACATATGAGGGATCTAGGTTGCACTCCCCTTATGAGAATCTAAATGCCTGATGATCTGTCACTTTCTTCCGTAACACCCAGATGTTACCGTCTAGTTTCAGGAAAACAAGCCCAGGGCTCCCACTGATTCTACATTATGATGAGTTGTATCATTATTTCATTATATATTACAATGTAATAATATTAGAAATAAAGTGCACAATAAATGTAATGCACTTGAATCATCCCTAACCACCCTCCCCCGACCCCATCCATGGAAAAATTATTCCTGAAACTGGTCTCTGGTGCCAAAAAGATTGGGGACTCCTGTATTAGAAGAAAAGATGCAGTGCACTGAAGAGGGACTAACCATAAGGAGCAGATGGGCACATAACTGCATGGAGCACCTCTCCCTGCAGCTCTGGTTCTCCTTGTAAGTCCCTTGCGTTGGTAGAATAATCCTCAGTTAGAGAAACACTGATTTAATATGTAGCTCTGGCTAACAGGAGGTGCTTAAGAAGAAAACCTCTTAAGATCATTTCTATCCTTTGTCTCTACTTTAGTGGTTTATCTTCATTTCCTGCCTCTTTCCTGTCCCTAGCTGTCTTCATGCTGCCTTAGTTGAAAAGCATTAATGTGGTCATTAAGGAAAAATAAGTCAAATTTACATTTGACTTTTTATTTTTAAATATTTAATCAACAGGATCCTTGGTTTTACTCATTGCCACTCCCCACACCCCAACACACATCCCTTCCTCAACTCTAAAGTGAGCCTCATTCTTTCGTATTTTCTTCCATCTAATTTAGACTCCAGCCTGGGTGGCAGAGCGAGACTCCGTCTCAAAAAAAAAAAAAAAAAAAAGAAATTCTAGTTGGATTTTTAAAAATTATATTTATTTCTTTGTAGAAAATAGATATTTTCATATTTAAAGTACCTTGATGGGTTTTTTCTTCTGAAATTGTTTTTTTTTTTTTTTAAAGTTTTGATTGGAATAAGATTCTGTGTAGGTAATTCTGTGAGATGATTTATTTTAGCAGCAATATAATATTTACATTATTATTAATGTAATTAATGTTATTAATACCTCATCAGATAGCTTCTTTGATCTGGAAGCTTACAGGTACCTATTGTCAGTACCTGTGGCTCTGCCACTTGCCAAATGTATTACAACTCCAGCTGTGGTCGAGAGGGGACTGAGAGGTAGACAGCTTATGTAATTTACTACCTAGTTTGTTAACCAAACACACATACAAAGCAATGTTTTTCAAATTTTTCTGACCACTGAGCAATAAAAATTATGACATATATTTTGATGTGACCCAGTTCTCTCTCTCTTTTCTGTACCCTCTTAAGTGAAACAAAATTTATTGAAACCAAAATTCCCTTACTATGTGTAATATTCTCATATTTTCTATTAAATGTCATTATTTAGCCTGCTGGTCAAAGGCTACTGAAACTTGAGAGCAAGATACAGGAGCAAGGGGAAATGTGGTATAGATTCTGAGTGTCGGGTGGCAGGTCCATTTTTCCTCTAGTTCCTGTTCTGCCTTCTGAGGAAAACCTTCTCCAGCAACTTAGGTCAATCACACCCATGTCCCTTCTCTGAATCCTTTTTACATGTATGATTGGTATCCGACAGCCTTACTCATTTACATTGCACTTATTCGGCTGCCAAACATCACAGACTGGAACCATCTGTTCCTGAAGGGAAAACCTGGAAGTGAAAAGGGTTCAGCAGCAGTGAAAATGCCATCGCAAAGCTCATTACTTCACTCTGTAGAAGGGAGAGCCTCTGTGGTTTTCCAGCTGACAGCATTACAGTACAGTGGTACAACTGTATAGGAACTGATGTTCCTGATGATTCTGCTGTGAATAGTATTTTTAATATACACTTTGAAGAAGGCAGAGAGGAATGTACAATAGACTTTAAATTTTTTTCTTTAAAATTGTTAAATAAAAACAAATAAGCACTTTACGTAAGTTACAATTATCTGGAAAACTACTTAGGTGGAAAAACTGATACAGAATGAATGAAGCATTAATTTCTGTTTTGTTCTGTGTTGTATTATTATTATTTGGGATAGGTATCTTGTTTCACTAAGCAGACTATGAATATCTTGAAGGCAGAACCACATTTTTTTTTTTTTTTGAGACAGGGTCTCACTATTACCCAGGCCAGAATGCAGTGGTGTGATCATAGCTCACTGCAGCCTGGATTCCTGGGTTCAAGCCATCCTCCTGCCCCAGCTTCCTGAGTAGCTAGGACTACAGGCACATGCCATCACACCCAGCTAATTTCAGCTTTTTTTTTTTTTTTTTAAGTAGAGATGGGGTTTTGCTATGTTGCCAGACTGGGTTGAAGCCATCCTCCTGCTTTGGCCACCCAAAGTGTTGGGATTACAATTGTGAGCCACCATGTCTGGCCAAGGACCAAATTTTTAATATTCTTTTCCACAACATATCTGGTACATAGTAGTTGCTTAATATGTTGGCTAAACAAAGAGTGGAGATTCAGTAAAGGGTGATCAGAGTGAGGTGAGATTAATTTGGGAAACCCTAGAAGTGCCTCTTGAGTCTGATCTGAAGGTGGTGCTAGCTGTGGATTAATAGAGGGAGAAGGGCATCTCAGAGAGAGGATTGCCAACATGCCTTAATTTTATCAGATTCTAGAGTTCCTTATGATTACCTCAGCATGTTGCTAGACTAGCATTATTGTCCAAAATTTAATTATTAACCAACTTTATCTATCTTACTTTCTAATAAATTGTTTGCTTTTACTACTGATAGCCTTTTCAAAAAACTTTAACTAGTTTTGTTCTTTACCGTAATTGTTTCAAAGAACATAATGATACGATCCTTTATCTTCCTAAGAAATGTGCAATTATTTGGTTAAACTAGAAGATTATTTAATCCATTATTCTTTTGACACACGCATGGCCTTACAGCTTACAAACTGAGATCACTAAAAGGAATACACGTAATTTAGTCTTTCTGCAGTCAGAATATGATTTCTTGTTATCTTGCACAATATTGGGAACAGTGCAACACAGGGCGAAGGTTGGTCTACAGCCCTTAGGCCAGCAAAAACAGGCACAACTGCGCCTCTGTGCAAATGTTCCTGACATAACCTTGGGGAAAAAATATAAAATGCAGCCTTTTCTTTTACTACCTTGTTTGGTAAGTACCTGGAAAAACTCCATGAAATAATTAGTTTTCATAGTTAATTCTAACTTTTTAAAAAAGTGTTTCATTGAGACTAGGTTTTTGGTTTGTTAATTGAATCACTGTTGATTTTACTCTTCCTGGCACCAACCTTTATTTCTGAGCTGTGGAGAGCACAGTTCTTACTCAGTGCTGTGTGCGTCACCTGAAATCCACAGAAAGAGGAGGCAGAACAAAATCACTGATGACGTTAATGGTTATTTTTCACACATTCAGATTAAATTAAAATATGTTTAGTGCTACATTCTTGACTTACTGAGTTTTTCCCTCATTTTGGTTAACTTTTACTTGTAGAAAATATGTTGATGAACAAAAACCCACTTTTACTATAAGGTTTTATTCTACCAAGCACACAGTAACAATATTGAAAGCTGCTTTCCATCTTTTTCATCTTTATACAGTTCCATCGAGCCTCTGTACCTTACCTATGGAATCATATTTGCCTGCGGCTGCTCCTTTGCATACCAGCCTTCATTGGTCATTCTGGGACACTATTTCAAGAAGCGCCTTGGACTGGTGAATGGCATTGTCACTGCTGGCAGCAGTGTCTTCACAATCCTGCTGCCTTTGCTCTTAAGGGTTCTGATTGACAGCGTGGGCCTCTTTCACACACTGAGGGTGCTCTGCATCTTCATGTTTGTTCTCTTTCTGGCTGGCTTTACTTACCGTCCTCTTGCTACCAGTACCAAAGATAAAGAGAGTGGAGGTAGCGGATCCTCCCTCTTTTCCAGGAGAAAGTTCAGTCCTCCAAAAAAAATTTTCAATTTTGCCATCTTCAAGGTGACAGCTTATGCAGTGTGGGCAGTTGGAATACCACTTGCACTTTTTGGATACTTTGTGCCTTATGTTCACTTGGTGAGTATGCTCCTTCACTGATCATGAATATTACTATTTCATAAAGAAAAACTTCTTTGAAGAGAAAGATAGGTCAAGTTAAAGTTGGCCTCAAACATTATCCTGGTTGTAATTTGGGTATTTTTGAAATGAAAGGTCTCTCAAGACAATGTCAATACACCATCAGACCACTAAACAGAGAGAGTATGTTTCATAGTGTGCTTTGGTATTTTAAAAACCCCGCAAACCCAGCCAGACACCATGGTGCCTTTCTGTGGTCCCAGCTACTAAGCTGAGGCAGGAGGATCGCTTGAGCCCAGGAGTTCAAATCCAGCCTAGACAACATAGAGAGACTCTGCCTCTAAAAATAAAATAAAAGTCCCCAAACAAATGCATTTTTTTTTTTAAAAGGAAGGCTAAAATATTGGAACAAATTGCATTCAATATAAAACATTTGATAAGTCTCTTTTTCTTCATATGGCTTTTATCAGGGACAAAGTTAGCGCTGTGATTTTGCTACCGTAAGTAAATTGTGTTGCAACCAGTGTAGAAATTAGGTAATTAGCAAAAAAGCCATGACTTTGATACAAAGAAGCATTACATCTACTTGTGGTACACTTCTGGGAAAATGGGAATTCTATTCAGAGGAATATCTGAGAAAAGTTACTCAAGTTCTAAATGAGGAAAGAGAGCTACAGTTTTATAGGAAATGAGTATTTCAAGTGCTCAACCGGTTTATATTGTTTATTTCTATTTCAAAGGCAAAATTCAGCTTCGTTATACTGAAATAAGAATAATTAGTGTCTAGGTAGGGGTTGGTGGCTCATGCCTGTAATCCCACCACTTTGGGGAGCTGATGCAGGAGTTCAAGACCAGCGTGGGCAACATAGGGAGACTTCATCCCTACCTGGGGAAGAAAAAAAAAAATAGAAGGAAGAAGCAGTATCTAAAGTATCTGCCCCGGCAACGTTTGTTCAAAAGTGTTCATTATGTTTCTTCCTTTTTTCTTACTTTTGTGGCTGAAAATGTGTTCACAGTTCACCATAAATGATAAACAAAACTGACATTGGCGCACATATTTGTATGTTTGTGAACTTGGATTTTTTTCTGGCTTACAGTCTACTTTTGGAGATTTGTGCAGTTTTTCTTTAGTTAAGAAATAAGTATAAATATAACTTATTTATGGATCATCAGGCTACATCCTGATCTGATAGTCCATTTTCATACTGTTAGGAAGGTATAGCTGAACCACCTTAAGCTAAGTTTCCTGAAATATAGATCTGTTGTGACAGGATTAACTTTACCAGCCAACCTCTTTCATAGCTTCTGTAGTCAAGATAACATTTATTGGAGAACATTTATTGTGTCCTTTCTCAAAAAGATGAGTAGAAATGCTTTTTCTTTTTTTCTTTTTTCTAGACAGGGTCTTGTTAAGTTGCTCGGGCTGACTTCAAGCAATCTGCTTGCCTCAGCTGGGATTACAGGTGCAAGCCACCACACCCAGCTTTAAAAAAAAATTATCTTTGGTACTACCACGTGAACACACCCACAGAAATCAGTAACTCAGCTTTGCTAATACTGGACATTTACCCAAGGAAAAGTGGTAGATGACTGCCTAATTATTTTTGGTTATATGTTTATAATTTGTAAATTAATTTCACATATATTACTTCATGTGACTTTCACAATAAACCAGTAAAGCAGATAAAATAAATATTAGCTCCAATTTTACAGACTGAAAAACAGATCTATCGTTAATAGAGACGTTAGTGATTTTCCAAGAATTACATGTCAGTAAACAGCAGAGCAGGAGTTAGTTCTCTTCCACTGTGCTTATCTGGTAGCAAATTCAGTCTACAGTCTTAACAGCATATTGGGCCACTTCCCTGGATATATTACCAAATGTGTCCGTCTTACTGGGGGAAAAATGAGTATGCCTAAGGAAATTTAATAAACATGTTATTTCTTCAGGTAAGTCAAATTTCATAGTAGAAGGTGGTTAGACAATGTTACAGATACTTTTGTGGTCAGGAGATGGCAAATCAGATGGTGCACAGAACGGTAACGTCTCTGTTAATTCTGTTAATAAACCATGCCTTTCTTCTGCTCTGCCTTCTTCCAGGCATGTTTTCTTACAAAATATGTTGATATTTTTCATTTGAGATTTTCTCTTTCTCAACCCATTATGGCACCAAATGCAGCATGGTAGAGGAAAGATCAGATAGCTAAATGCCATACAGGTGTTTAAAGCTCCTCTTTGGTGATGTACTGAGTTTGTCACTTTGTTGTAATTTAAGGTTTGAATTATGGATACTTAACCAGGAATGGGACACTAGTTTCCTCCTTATACAGGGAAAAGGTGTCTCATATCCTTCAAAAGACTAGTAAAGTAGATGATGTTCAATTCCTACTAAACCCTTTATTGACTGTTGAGGGGACACATATATGAGGCATAAAAATTTGCTCTGAAGGAGCATAAACCTAGTACATGTAATTAAAAAGGGCTACAGTTTACAAAGCACTTTTACATACATTCTCTCATTTAATATTCACAACAATGCAATACCTGTGGCATATCCTCTTTATTTCGTGGATGGGAAGACTAATGCCCGGAAAGATTACATAACTTGCTCAGCCAGGCACAGTGGCTCACGCCTATAATCTCACCACTTTGGGAGAATGAGGTGGAAGGATCACTTGAGCCCAGCAGTTCAAGAGCAACTTGAGCAACATAGTGAGATTCCGTCTCTACAAAAAGTAATTTAAAAAAATTACCCGGTCATGGTGGTGCATGCCTGTAGTCCCAGCTACTTTGGAGGCTAAGGTAGAAGGATCGCGTGAGCTCAGGAGGTCAAGGCTGCAGCGAGCCGTGATGGTGCGACTGCACTCCAGCCTGGGTGACTGAGTGAGACCCTATCTCTAAAAAAAATTAAAAAGTATTCTAAAGGAAGAACAGATTGAACAACTTTTAATTTATTTGTCTCCTCCTAGTGGCAGGCTTTTAAATATGGAAGGTGAAGAAATAAAGAGCCAGGTGTGGTGGTACACACCTGTAGTCCTAACTACTCAGGAGGCTGAGGCAGGAGGATCACTGGAGCCCAGGAGTTCAAGGCTGCGGTGTGCTATGATTGTGCCACTGCATGCCAGCCTGGGTAACACAGCAAGACTCTGTCCCTAAAAAACAAATAATAAATAAAGAAGTAACTTGCTCAAGGTCACAGAGATAGTGACTGATAATTATTAGTGTAGTACTTTTATGTAAGTGGCGGTATTGTATAGTGGTTTAATAGTGAAGGTTCTGGGCCTGGTGCAGTGGCTCACCCCTGTAATCCCAGCACTTTGGGAGGCCAAGGCAGGTGGATCACCAGAGGTCAGGAGTTCGTGACCAGCCTGGCCAACATGGTGAAATCCCATCTCTACTAAAACTACAAAAATTAGCTGGGCGTGATGGCTTGCACCTGTAATCTCAGCTACTCAGGAGACTGAAACAGGAGAATCACTTGAACTCAGGAGGCGGAGGTTGCAGTGAGCTGAGATCACGCCATTGCACTCCAGCCTGAGTGACAAGAGCGAAACTCCATCTCAAAAAAAAAAAAAAAAAAAAAAAGTGAAGGTTCTGAAGTAAGACATATCTGGGTTTAAATCCTGGTTTTGTTTCTTACTAGTTGCATAACCTTGGACATCCTCTGTAAGCATCAGTTTCCTCATCTATGGAGATAAACCCAGTTTTGCAGAATTGTGAGGATTAGATAAAATATGTGTGAAACATCTAACTGAGTTCTGGCAAAAAATGGGAGTTATTTTAATGTAAGACAATGTGATTGCCAACTGAGTGGTTTTAAGGAATGAGATAGAAGATTTTAAAAGGAGAAAGATAATATCCATTTGGAAAAGTGGTTTTAAAAAGTTTCATAGTGGGCCAGGCGCCATGGCTCACGTCTGTAATCCCAGCACTTTGGGAGGCCGAGGCGGGCGGATCATGAGGTCAGGAGATCGAGGCCATCCTGGCTAACATGGTGGAACTCCGTCTCTACTAAAAATACAAAAAAATTAGCCGGGCATGGTGGCGGGTGCCAGCTACTCGGGAGGCTGAGGCAGGAGAATGGCATGAACCCAGGAGGTGGAGCTTGCAGTGAGCCAAGATCGGGCCACTGCACTCAAAAAAAAAAAAAAAAAAAAGTTTCATAGCATTGGAGTTGGGCCTTGAGCATGAGATTCTGTGTACAAATCAGATCTTTGATCAACTAGGAAACTAACTTACCAGTTTAGGTCTTTGAAGATTCAGAAGTACAAGGGAGTGCTGTCACTGCTATGTTAAAAATTCTAAGATCTCATTAGATTGTACATGATGATTTGAGAGAGAATATGTATGCTTGCTTTCAAAGTGAGGTTGGAGGTTTGATCTTGTTGTAGTTGACTTTTCACAATGAAGAATTAGATTGCCTCCTGGAAGCTAATTCACCTCTCTTTTAGGCCTACCCACTTAAAATCTTTTTTAGAAGAGTACAAATCTTATAGATCGATTTAGATGAGGCCTAACTTTCTAAAAACGATTCCTAGTAGCGGCTGTGTCAGTTTTTATGACTTGCCCCTTTTGCCTGAGAGTTGTTTTGTTTTGTTTTCTGGAATCTTTTTTTTGTTTTGTTTTGTTTTTGGTTTTTTTTGAGACAGAGTCTTTCTCTGTCTCCCAGGCTGTAGTGCAGTGGTGCAATCTCGGCTCACTGCAATCTCCACTTCCCAGATTCAAGTGATTCTCCTGCCTCAGCCTCCCAGTAGCTGAGATTACAGGCGCCTGCTGCCATGCCCGACTTAATTTTTTGTATTTTTAGTAGAGACAGGGTTTTGCCATGTTGGCCAGGCTGGTCCCGAACTCCTGACCTCAGGTGATCCACACGCCTCGGCCTCCCAAAGTGCTGGTATTACAGGTGTGAGCCACCGCGCCTGGCCTCTGGGTTTCTTTTCTTTTCTTTTCTTTTTTTTTAATGACTCCTCTGACTCTGGTTTTTCTCCATTTAGCTTTC